AAAAAAAAAAAAAAAAAAAAAAAAAAAAAAAAAAAAAAAAAAAAAAAAAAAAAAAGAAATAAAGAAATGAGAGGGAAAGACACAGCGTGAATTGTGAGACAGGCATAAAAAGAGAGAAAATGGAAGGTTTGAATGATGCTGTTAGAATTTCTGCCAGACTGTAGGTTCTAGGGGAACAGATGCTATTCGGAACTGTCAAAGTAGAGCAGGAACCTATAGTGTATTTGGTTGTCTCCTTTTATCATCCCCCTTCTCTTCCCTTTCTCACTGTCCTTTCTGTCCCTCCTTTCTCTCTTAAAAATTATCTTTAACTTTATTTGTATATGAGTGTTTGCCTGCAATTATGTATGTACATTACATTCATGCAGTGCACATGGAGACCAGAAGAGGGCACTGTATCCCTTGGAACTGGAGTTAACAGACGATTGTGAGCTGGAAACTGAACCCTGGTCCTCTGCAAGTTTTCTTAATCTCTGAGCCATCTTTCTAGCCCCGTGTGTGTCATCTCTCTTTCCCCTACTTCTCTCCCTCACCCTCCCTCTCACAGTTTAACTTACTATTTTTTAGGATTTTTGAGATATAACTGATATGCACACAGTTGAACATACATACATATTTCAAACACATTTTGATGAGTTTGGACACATGCATGCACTTACCTGTGAACTATCTCATGATCAAAGTACTAAGCATTCATCCCCTATAGAAATTCCTTGTGTTCCTTCCTGTGTGTGTGTGTGTGTGTGTGTGTGTGTGTGTGTGTATGTTTTATTTGTGAGGTGGATGTTAATACTTTGCATGACAACTATCCTCTTCAGTAATGCTAAGTGGCACAAGCCAGTTACATGATTCCACTCCTCTGGGGCATCTAAGATAGTAAAACTCACAGACATGAAGAACAGAATGGTGGTGGTCAGCACCCGGAGGCAGAGGCAAATGAGAACTGTTGCTCAAAGGGGATATAATTCTGCCAGATGAATAGGGACATGGTCTCTCTCTTCACTCTTGGCCCGGGAGACTGTTTTCCTCTGCAGTGGTCTCTCTGACTCTTATCCACTCACATCCTTTGAGGGTACCCCACCTTACTCTGTAGATGAGCTCTGCCTATTTTCTACACTGAGAAGCATGGATAGTGGACTGTCGAGATAGCTGCGGTCAAGCCTGAAGATGTGAGTTTGATCCCTGGAACCCACATGGTAAAAGGATGAGTTGTCTTCTGACTTCCACACATGTGGAAATGGGTTTCATAGATGAAGAAGAAAGAAAGAATATTCCAGAACTAGGTGCACTATATACTCAGATCCCATCGAGTTTGGGGAGACTAAACCATACCCTTGTGCTTTGACCCCATTCAGTCTGGGTACGTTCCCTTCATAGCTGCAGGACTCGAATTTGTCCAGCATAAAGAAACAAGTGGAAGAAGGCCTGCTGCCTTACCCAATCTTTGCAGCCATCGATGGTGACCTTCAGCCTGACTGGAAGAAGAGAAAAACTCAGAGTAAGCAAAAAAAAAAAAAAAAAAAAAAAGGAGGGGAGGGGAGGTAGTAAGGGAATGAAAGGCACTGAACAGGGCCGGGCATATAGCTCAGTGGTAGAGTGTTTGCTTTGAATGTATGGGGTCCTGGGTTCAGTTTCCCCAGAAAGGCTTTGAGTGGAATGTATGGGTGTTTCTGCCAAACTGCACCTTTGGGCAGCCCAGGAGCAAAAACTGGCTGTCAGGATAGAAGAATATGCTCAGCTCACAGAGAGCAAACAGGAATCCTAGAAACCACCAGAGGGCCCATACTTGAGTTGAGTGACCAAAGAAGTTGAAATGTGGGTGAGGTGAGGGACCCGGGTTGGAGATACAGTGGCATGACTCTTTCCTGTCATCTTCTCCAATGCTGGTGGCTTTCCTAATGTTCTGTTCTTCTTTTGAGCCTCAGTCTTTGCTCTGGGATCAAGAACTCCTCACCCGATTTACTACATGTAAAATGCATTTATTTGTTTGATGAGTTTGCCCCTATTTCTCAATATCTGCCAGGCCCTGTCCCAGGTGCTTGCTCACCCTAGCATTCCAAAGCTCAGAAGTCCCTGAGGTTAATACTCTATTTCTCGAGTCTCGGTACGTGTCCTTGATCTTGTTTCATTTCTGTTGTTGTCACAAAAAAGCAGCCTAGGGAAGAGAGAGTTTATTTGACTTACAATTCCAGGTTATGGCTCATTATTTCAGGGAAGTCAAGTCAGGAACTTACATGTCACATCCACAGTCAAGAGCAGAAAGGAAGTATGCATATGCATCATTATTTTCTTACTTGCTCTGGGCTATCTTTCTCTCCCTTTATACTGATTCTGCCTAGGGAATAGTGACACCCACAATAGGCTGGATTTTTCCCTCTCAATTAACAATCAAGAAAGGTTCCCACAGACATTCCCATATACCAACCCGATCTATTACCCATTAAGACTCTCTTAGCAGGTATTCTGGCCCATGTCAGGTTGAAAGTTGAAATTAATCAGTGTAGTCCTTGTATGGTTTTCCACTAGAGTGAGTAGAGCTGACCTCCTCCTTTACATAGATCCTCCCCCAGCAGTCCAGAGGTAAGGTTAATTTGACTATATCATCTGACACTCCATTGGTTACCAAGGGTGATTTGACTGATATGGATATGGATATGATATGGATACTGATGTGGATATGATAAGGAACCCAGGAGGTTCCTTCCTCCCTAGCCACTCCATATGTGTCTTTTCTGAGCTATATACTGGTTTCGAGAGGTTGACCTTCCTTCCTAGAGGAAGACAGTTACTCAGTCAAGAAGATATGAATAGCTGCACTCTTCTCAAATATTCCCTGAAGACTAATGAGACCTCTAGCCCACGCCTTCTCTAACTCAGCCCTCCACATTGTAAGCACTATCTTCTCCACAACCTGAACACATTATGGGCTGAGTATCAGCATCTCTCTTGAGGACTCTTGTAATTACTTCCTCATTTGTCTACCTGTACATGTCATCTCCTCCTCCCATAGCTACCTGATAGAAATTTCTAGGACAAACATGATCATGTGATTTTCCATCTTACTATAAATAGTGCACTCAATCCGTAGTACCCCCAGATAACCCTCATCTCATAGTGTGTCTAGAGTTTTCATCATTCCCACATTCTGGAGTTGCATCTGAGATGAGGTAGAAGAGAAAGGTGGGTGGGAGGCTCAAGCTTGGGGAGATAATGGAAACAGGGTTTTGGAAATGATGAATTGTTTCCATCTGAATCGGCTCTTAGAGGCATGGGGAAGAGATCCCCCAATATTTGAGATCAGCCAGCCCATCCCTATGTGGTAGTCTCTTGGTTGGCATCCCTTACTCTATGGATCCCCTTCCCTCAGCGCCTGTGTTCCAGGCTCAGAGCTTGTAGTTTACTCTTGTTTTGCCTCCCCAGAGTCCTGGTTTGAATTCACCCCTCACCATGCTGGCTACCCTGCACTTGGGGCTTTCGTTCCCATCACACAGTTTGGAAGCAGATTTGAGAATGGAACACTGGTTATACCTGAGCCCGAGAGAGACTTGACTTACCTGAGAGGTCAGTACTGGGATCAGATGGAATTCCGAGGAGATGAGAAGTCGATGTTGGGCAAGGATGACCTTTCTGAATGTCTGGCTCTGCCAGGCTTCTTCATTGCTAGGAGAAAAGGAGAAGTCTTGGGGTTTCCAGAGGAAACCTTCAGCATCTCCAGGGACTCCCTTGCTTGACGATACCTGGTAACTTACTAAGTGGTCCAGGAGGCACCTGAATCTAAGGTTACAGCTTCTGATAAATAGATTTAAAATGCGAGTATGGGGTTTATATACAGTCCCACAAATAAAACACTCAGCACTGTACCCAGAGTGTGGTAGCAATTCAAAGATAGTTAAATCCCTATTTACTCAGCAAATGATTTTTGTTGTTGTTTTAGATTGGGTCTCATGTATCTTATTTTGGCCTTGAACTGACGGTGTGTCTGAGGCTAGTCTTGAACCTTGAACTTTTTTTTTTTTTTTTTTTTTTTTTTGGTTTTTCGAGACAGGGTTTCTCTGCGTAGTTTTGCGCCTTTCCTGGAGCTCACTTGGTAGCCCAGGCTGGCCTCGAACTCACAGCGATCCGCCTGGCTCTGCCTCCCGAGTGCTGGGATTAAAGGCATGCGCCACCACCGCCCGGCTTAGTCTTGAACTCTTATTTCTCCTGTATCCATCTCCCAAGTGCTAGGATTATAGGTGTGCACCACCATGCCCAATCAGCATATAATTTTGAGATACACTATGAAGTCCTTCATGGGTACCTCCTTCTGCACAGATGGAAACAGAGCCAAGACTGAATCTGGCCCTTCCAACAATCCAGTCACTGAAGAAGGGTCTTTTGATGCCATCCCTGCACTTTTGTCTAATCTGTCTATAAGTCCTCCCCATTCCGTTTCTAGGTTTTTAGAATCCACCCATACCCCTTCTTTCCCACCAGCAGCAGCACTCCCCCCTGAGCTATCATTGTCTGACACTATGAACCCCTCAGCTGTTCCCCACATTCCTATTCTGCTTCTGTCTATTACAGGCAATGAGACTCAAGTGTAATGTAACCCTATCAATTCGCTTTAATTACAGGAAGTCTTAGTTTTATTTCTCTGTTCTTTACAGGTTTATGGGGAAGTGCTCTAGCTGATATTGAAGAAATTAAGAAATATATTTGGGGTGAGTATTTGAGGGGACCCCAAGGGCCAAAGCCTAGAGATAGATATCTTGTGTAAAGGAACTCACCTTCCATTTCCTTCGTGTGACAGATGAGACTACTGTCATTATCCCTACAGTTACATTTCCTAAGGCCACTGCTTTCTCTCAAGCCACCTTGAGGCAGCAAGGATGGCTGCCCAGTGGCTGGGTGCAGGCTGCCTTGGCAACAGTGCTGTTTAATTACATGTGACCTCTTTTCCCACCTTCTCTGCATCTTATTTACTCTGTCTACACCACACAGATGATGCTAGCAGTAGTTGTAAGGGCTCAGAGAATTAATTCCTCTAAAGGACTAAAGATGGAGCCTGGTAGGTAAAAGCACTGGGAAACAATAGAAGTTATTATCTGTTCTAGTACATCCTTACCCCAGCCTCAAGGGATGGATGCTGCAATCACCTGAATTTAAATTTTATTTATTTTGCCAGGCATGGTGGTGCACACTTTAATCCCAGCATTTGGGAAGCAGAGGTGGAAGTTCTCTGAGTTTGAGGCCAGCCTGGTCTGCATAGTGAGTTCCAGGGCAACCAGGAATACATAGAGAGACCCTGTCTCAAAATTTATTTATTTATTTAATGTACATGGATGTTTTGTCTGCATGTATGTCTGTGCACCACATGTGTGTCTGGTTGCTGCAGAGGCCAGATGAGGGCATTGAATCACCTGGAACTGGAGTTCTACATGGTTGAGAAATGTCATGTGTGTGCTGGGTATTGAGCCTGGGTCCTCTGGAAGGGCAGGCAGTACTCTTAACCACTGAATCATCTCCCAAGCCTTCAACTTTAATTTTTTTTTGAGAGCCACTGAGTCGTAAGAATGCTGAGTGACTTGTGTGCTCTCATTGTCAAGTGAGTACTAATGTAGGAATGGATAGTAGTTTGTGTCTGGAGCCACATCACAACTCTGACCAGTATGATATATGCTCTGGCCAACCAAATGCTCTGTGACACCCTTTCTCCCATAATTGAGACAACAATACCCCCTCCCCCAGCCTCGTGTATTAGAGGTGAGTTTTTTTTTTTTTTTGTTTTTGTTTTTGTTTTTCGAGACAGGGTTTCTCTGTGTAGCTTTGAGCCTGTCCTGGAACTCACTCTGTAGACCAGGCTGGCCTCGAACTCACAGAGATCCACCTGGCTCTGCCTCCCGAGTGCTGGGATTAAAGGCGTGCGCCACCACTGCCCGGCTAGAGGTGAGTTTTAAATGACTTAATATTTGTATGGTGTTTAGAGCATAGTCTGGACCATAGAAATAATGTCTCACAAATATATAATAACAATGATGTAACCAGACAGAATGAGTCTGCATCTTGGTGAGTGTGAAGCCAAAACTCAATAGCCAAAAGGTGACACAGTAGAATAAAGAGGCATTACCTATTATCTGTATTGCTAAGTAGAGTCAGGCATTGATGCCAAAGTGATACCCTCTTCACACAGAGGAAGTGTGAAGACTAGTTTGGGGAGGTCGTGAGTATTTGGGAAGGCATTTCAGGAGTGTGCACATACCTGGGCATACATAATTTAAGAGGTAGAGCTGTAGCAGTGGCTTAGTAGTTAAAGCATTTGCCATGCAAGTGTGCAGACTAGAGTTTGGGTCTTCAGATCCTGTGTAAATACCAGTTGGTCATGGCAGCCTGCCTGTAAATCCAGCCTTGGATGGCAGAGACATGGGATCCCTGGAGCAAACTAGCTACTAATATAGCCATATTGGTTAGCTCTGGGTTTGATTGAGAGATCCCTGCCTCAATGAATAATGTAGGAAACAACAGAGGATGATTCCTCGCATCATCTTTGAGCCTCCACACATACCACACACATGCACACACACATGATGTACACCACTTTAACCACTAAGCCACTGCTACAGCTCTACCTCTTAAACTTCTGTCTCTGCCTCCCAAATGCTGGGATTAAAGTGTACAACACCATGCCTGGCAAAATAAATAAAATTTATTTGGGTTAAAGATGGTGGGCAGGAATATTCTGGCTGTGCTAGCTTTCATGGTAAAGGTGGTGGGCCTCACTTAGTGCCACAGTGCTGGGCAGTTGTTTGTTGACTTTTTGTGAGCTGACCTGTTGTAGGCCCCAAGTAAAAAAAATTCTTTCTCCAAGATGTTAGCTGCAGCCAAAGTAAAGAATATTTTGAATATGAATAATATCTATAGGAATCTCTTATCTGCAAGGCTGCCTGCCTCACTGTAGCTGCTAACAGTAAAAATAATTACTGAAAGTTTATGCCCATAACTATTAATTCTTCATTTAATTCCATGGGCCAAACATATTCTGGGTCTATGTTTTAACATTGTTCATTGAAAATAACATTCACCATGTGTTTGTTGGTTAAAGGCAAATTCTAGAATCAGGTGTGATGGCTCATATCTTTAATCCCAGTTCTCCAGAGGTAGAGGCAGATGGATCTCTGAGTTCTAGGCTACCCTTGTAGGGCCTGGTTTACAGAGAGTTCCAGGACAGGCAGGATTATACTGAGAAACACGGTCTTAAAACAATAAAACAAAAAAACCAAACAAACAAACAAAAAAAGAGAGTATCTCTTTCTAGCTTCCTTGTGGCTAAAGTTGGAGGTTGAGTCTTGCTTCATTTCCATAGTGGGTGTACGAGGATTGCTTTCTGGTGAAGAAGCCTTGATTTATAGTGGTGTGTAGTGTCCTATCCAATTTCAAGTTACCAATATGGGTTCACTGAAGGTAGAGTTGGAAGGAGAGCATGGAGTTAGGTCTTGAGGTTCAGTATCAGCAAAAGCTCCAGCCTGTGGTGGCCAATCTCATAAAGGAACAGCCCTAGAGAAACTTGCCTTGGACACACTCAGCACTAGGAGTGATGGTGCAGGCCTGGAATCTCAGCACTTGGGAGGTGGAGGCAGGAGGATCAGGAGTTCAAGGTCATCTTCAGCTATGTAGTGAGTTTGAGACCAGTCTGGGTAATATGAGGCCCTGTCTTATAAAACTGAAAAAAAAAAAAAAAAGAAAAGAAAAAAAAACCCTCAACATCATATAGCCATTGGCTTCATTGTACAGTTAAACATTCTTCATTTTTACTCTCTTGCAGACATGTTAAGGGATCTGAGAGGAAAACTGAAGCAGAAAGGTAAGCACCCTGTTTCGTTGTGAACCACTGATGAGTACATGGATAAGAAATTGAATAAGCCAGCCACAGATTATGCAGAATGTCATGATTATGCTCATAGTTACCTTGTGAAATGCTATTCTTACGTCACCTGCTCAGCTGTGCTGTGCTGTGCTGTGCTGTGCTGTGCTGTGCTCTCTCTCTCTGTGTGTGTGTGTGTGTGTGTGTGTGTGTGTGTGTGTGTTCCTTTCAATAGTATGTAAAGGGGTAATGGTGGGAAAATCAGAAGCCTTGTCAAGAGGGCTCATGCCTCTGTGCTACATAGAACAAGGGAGGTGGCCTTCTGTTCTGTACCTGCCATTTGCTAGCCAAAGTGGGCATGGGAGGAACATCCAGGTCCCGGAATTGCATGTGGGAGCTTTGTAAATAAAATACATGGAAGCTGGGCTGGGCACACACAGCAATGTCAGGAAAGGGGGTGACAGGGAGATTTGTGTGGGGGAAGTCAGTGATGGTGTCTCCACACCCTCATGGGAGGCTACTTTTATCTCTGAGCAGAGGCTAAAGCAGCGACATGCATGGAATCTCCAGAAGTGCAGGTGGATGAGGCGCTCTTGGATTTAATGATGGCTTATGTCAAAGATCAGAATGACCCCAGCATCAAGGATAAGCTCCGGGCCCTGCAGCAGGTTCTGAGTGCTGAGAGAGGTTTGTACATGAGGACACACTTGCAGACCACTGTGTGGCTGCTGAGGGTTGTGAGCATGAGGAAAGCAGGGTGTTGACACAGCCGGGTGGCCTGCCGTAGCGATGTGGCCCTCCTTTCTACCCCCACCCTGTAAGGGAATGTGTGTGCCACTAAAGCTCTGCTGCCCAACCCTTCCTGAGCTGTCATAGCCTTCCATAGAGGATGGAATGTTTTCTCTCAGAGGAAACTATTGCTCTACAACACAGTCCCTGTCAGGTCACCACAAGCGATGAGGTAGAGTGGGTCAAACAGTGGCTCTTGGGAGATGGCATGGGTCCATCCTGCAGCGGGTCATCAGCTGGGTTTCTTGTAGCAGATGAGTTTGGCGAACAGAGATACATCTGGCTGGATGAGATTGTCCAGAATTGGGATGAGATCTCTCCCAAGGAGAAGGAGCAGTTTCTGGAATATCTGTTGTACTGCTTCATGAGGCCACGAGAGCTTCATGAGGGCGCCAAGTCCAACTCGATGAACCGGATTGAGGGTAAAAGTCAGCACTATCAGCCTCCTCCTCTCGTGTCCCCACTGGTATCCATCACATTTTCTCATCCCTGTGACAGATCGTCTGACACAAGCAACTTAGAGTGGTTTATTTTGACTCACAGTTGAAGGACGTATTGTCTGTCCACCAGAAGGAGTGTGCAGCAGCTGGTCACATTGCCCCCCAGTCAGGAAGCAGAGAGAGAGAGAGAGGACAGATAGAGAAAGAAATACAAAAAGAGAGACAGAGAGAGATATAGAGATCAGGAAGAAGTGAGAGAGAGACAGATAGATAGATGATAGAGACAGAGAGAGACTAAAAGAGAGACAGAGACACACAGAGAGATATAGAGAGACACAGAGAGATAGAGACAGAGACAGAGAGGGAGACACTGAGAGACATACACAGATAAAGAAGCAGAGAGACATTTACAGAGACATGGAGAGACAGGGAGATGGAGGGAGACAGAGAGACAGGGAGACAGAAACAGGGAGAGAGGAGGGAGAGAGAGACAGAGAGAAAGCGGAGAGATAGGAGAGAGAAGGGAGAGACAGGATAGAGAGGTGAGAGAGACACACAGAGAAATATACATGGAGACAGAGAGAGACACAGAGAGACAAAGATGGAGAAACAGTTTAAGAAGATACTGTCCACCATGGCAGGAGTGTGAGGTAGCTGGTCACATTGCCCCTCAGTCAGGAAGCAGAGAGAGAGAGAGATAAAGAGAGAGACACAGAGACAGAGATGCACAGAGATAGAGAGATAGAGATGTAGAGACAGAGAGACACAGAGAGAGCCAGAGAGGGAGACACAGAGAAAGAGACAGAGAGACACATGGAGGGACAGAGCAAGACAGGGAGAGAGAGACAGAGCAAGACAGGGAGAGAGAGACAGAGAGAAACAGAGAGAGAGGGAGTGAGATAGGGAGAAAAAGGCATAGAGGGAGAAAGAGAGGGGAAGGGAAAGGGGGAGAGGGAGAGACAGAAAGAGAGACAGAGAAAAAGTAAGAGAGAGAGATATTGGTGCTCAGCCACTTTTTCCTTTTTATTCAGTTGGGGGCCCAAGCTCCTGAGATATTGCTGTCTGCTTTAAGGTGGGTCTTCCATACTCAAACCCCTCTGTCACCTTGAAGGTCAGTGCTTTGCTATAGGACTTCAGAGGCGTGCCAACACACACCATCCCATGATGCTTACTTTGTACCTTTCAATTCCTGCATCTAGGTTTAATCCAGGATGTTTTTACTTTTCTGAGTAAAACTGGAATTTGTTGTTGGAGGTGGGAGTGGGGAACTGTCTACAACTTCCTCTACAAACACGGTAAGAATACTCCCCCTTTTGTCTTCCTGAACTCTCATGGGCTGTGGAGGACTAGGTCTCAGCTCATCCCTTTCCTGGAGGTGTGGAGGTGGGGATGGCATGGTCCTCAATGGTCTGAATGGCAGAGCTTCTCCATGGTAGTGGTTCACAGTGAGAGTCACATAGTCTTTTTGGTATCAATAGAAGGCATGATAAGGCTCCTGAAATGTTGGTGTTTTCCTCTGACTCGGAAAAGGTGTAGACATCCACCATAGTTTATCCTTTCATGATCTGACCTGCATCATTCAGATAGAAGAGACACTAGCCTGTGGGGTACTCTTAGATCACTTTATAGTTTACAAACTTCTGTCTTGCTGTATGAATGCCTTCTTTCAAGACTATGCCAATCCCCAAACATTTAAAGTCCATTTACCACTCTTCCATGATAAGACTACATACTGCCAACATCTTGTGCCTTAATGGCTTTGTAGTTTAGGAAAAGGTGAGTTCCCTAGGAAGATGAGCTCCGCAATGTTGTTAGCTTGGTCAGTACCATACATGGCTTGAGAAGTTGCATCACTCTATTTTTGCTGGTTATAACAAAATACCCCAGGCTGTGTGCTTTATAAAGAAAAAAAAGTTTCTTTAACTCATAGCATAAGGAGATGAAAGTCCAAGATGAGGTGGCCCCATCTGTTCACCCTCTGTTTTGAGTGTTCCTGGTTGCAACATAATGTGATGGAGAAGCCATATGTAGAAGGGACATAGTCATAGGTGGATGGGCCTCATTGTATAAACACTTTGCTCTCTAAAGAGCTAATTTACTGCAACACAAATCCCTTCTAAGGCTGGTGCCTCCACATTCAAATAGAACCAATCTTCCAGTGCACGGGTCTCTGAGGAGCACACTCAAACCATGTCCAAACACCAGCAGAAGTGAACCCTAACTGGACATGGGTCTCTACTCATCTCTCGGAGACAACAGCTCTGTCTGCTCAAACTGCCTCCTGTTACCTACATTCTGACCTGAGATTAGACAAGTTCTTTTCCTGGTTTTAGGTAACATCACAGATGAGGCCATACAGAGCCGGGAGTTTCTGCATCTGGTGGACGCTGGTTTAGCCATCAACACTCCCTACCCGCTTGTTCTGCCTCCAGCTCGTGGAGCTCACCTCATCCTCTCGTTTGACTTCAGTGCTGGGGACCCGCTAGAGGTAACTGAAAGGAGGGAAGGAGATTTGTATTTGAGGGAAGGAGATGAGATGGCCTGGGCAGAGATGGGGCTGTGCAGGAAGGAACTCAGGGTCTGATTGGGAGCTGGACGTTGGGCAGTTGTTGTCTGGGGGCACTATGGCATGTACGTCCCCCACATCATGCATAGACACACATAATGATCATATATTTAAAAACTTTGAAGATACTTGCTGGCTGGCAGGATGGCTCAGCCAATAAAGGTGCTTGCTGCCAACATGAGTTCCATCCTCCAGACCATGTGGTGGATCTCATAAGTTGTCTTCTGATGCCACACACACACTGTAGCACACACATGCACACACACACACACACACACACACACACACACACACACTCACAGTACATTAAATATGGGTTTATGTATCTTATCTTTAAAATATACACACTTACAGCCGGGCAGAGACAGGTGGATCTCTGTGAGTTCGAGGCCAGACTGGTCTACAGAGTGAGATCCAGGACAGGCACCAAAACTACACAGAGGAGCCCGTGTTCAAAAAAGAACTACACACACACACATACACACACACACACACACACACACACACACACACACACTTACATAATATACATTTGCATCTCTTATGCAATGTATACATATATAAAAGTATATTTATGTTTGATTAAACTCAGATCATCAGTCTTGGTGGCAAATGTCTTTACCTGCTTAGTCTTAATGCTGGTGGGCAAGGATTTATATTTCACATTTACTTTTTTTTTTTTTTTTTGCTGGCTGTGATACTTGGATCTGAAATGTACCCCAGAGGTTAATAATTTCTACCCCATGTGTTCGTACTTGATCCATAGGGTGTAGAGATTGGAGAGTGTCAGATGACTGGGGAGATACGCCTAGTGCAGTGTTCTCAGTCTTCCTAATGCTGTGACCCTTTAATACAGTTCCTCATGTTGTGGGGACCCCAACCATACAATTACTTTCATTGCTACATCATAACTGTCATTTTGCTACTGTTATGAATCCTAATGTAAATTTCTGATGACCTTCGGTGACCCCTGTGAAACTGTTATTCAACCCCTAAAGATGTTGACACCCATAGGTTGAGAAGCACTGGCTTAGTGGGAGGTTCCTAGTTCACTGGGCTCATGCTCTCAAAGGACAGCATGATCCTTTCAATTTCTGCTATCTGTCTGCCTTGTGAGGTGAGCAGTTTTGCTCTGTCATATACTCCCACCACGTGGCCGAGTGATCGTGACCTGGAACCTCCAAGCCTTGAACCCAAACCAACCTTTTCTCTTTGTAAGCCGATTGTGTTGGGTGTTTGCTACAGTAATGGAAAGTGGACTGACTGACTTCCATGGTAACTATTAAGCTATTTAAAATCACATGCATGGCTGACTTTCCATTTCTGTTAGCCAGCAATGAAAACAAGCTTTCTCGGTCACCGTCCACCATCCCTGTGAGGTAGATGTTAAAGAGTCTTTCAGGGAGGAAATGAGATTGACTCGTTCTGAATATCTGTGGATGCCCCCTCATCTGAACACATTGTCCTTCATAAAGACCCCAAGGTTATTCTCAAGCCTAGAATAAATACTCATTGTCGCACAGTGAATGGGAGATGTCTTCTGTACAAAACCAAACCAAAAACAACCGTGTACTTTCCAGCCTCCTCCTGAGGTCTTTGCTGAGGTTCCAGCGTGTCTCAAGGCTTCCTGTTCTCCCCTTCTCAGACCATCAGGGCCACAGCAGACTACTGCCGATGCCATGCAATCCCCTTTCCTGAAGTGAGGGAGGATCAGCTGAAGGAATGGGCCAAAGCCCCAGAGAGCTGCTACATCCTCAGAGGGGAGACTGGGCCTGTTGTCATGCATTTTACTCTGTTCAACATAAGCAACTGTGGAGGTAGGTGTGGGAGGAAGAGCAGGGTAAGGAGCCGTGGGATCCAGGCCTGGTGGGGCTGTATCTGAGGGATGCCTGGTCCGCACTTCAACATCCAAAGCTCATCCTGTCTGCCCTGGGGCCTCCAAAAGGGTGTCATGTTTTCTGTTTCTGTCTTAGACATTTCTACCTGTTTCCTCCTTTTGTTGGGATGTTCTGGATGTCTGGCTCCTTCTACCTGGGCACTCTACATTTATCATCTAGTCCTGGGTGAACAGTTCGAGGTGGAGCTCACCATGCAGCATGGCCATCCTGTCAGTCTCAGCCCTGCTGCTTATCCCACTGGACTCTCTGGAGCTCTCTGCCACTCTGCCTTTGGGGTGGGGTTCCCTATAAGTGATAAAGTATAAAGCCTGTCTCTTTCTTTCTGTAGATAGTGTCTCACTATTGTTGCTGAAGCTGGCTTTGAACTCAGGATCCTCTTCCTTCAACCCTCCAAGTGCTGACATGGTGCCCATCGCTTTACCTGTTCCTTTCTACTGGCCTTTGTTTTGCTTTAAAGATTTATTTTTGTTATTTCCAGTTTTGTGTATGTGTGTTTGTCTGTCTGTCCATGTGAGTGCAGATGCCCAAGGAGGACAGAAGCATTGGATCCTTTGGTTATGAATCACCTGACATGGGTGCTGGATATTAACTCCAGTCCTCTAAAAGAGCAGTATGAGATCTGTCTAGCTATATCTCCAGCCCCCATTAATTTTATTTCTAAGACAGAGTCTCACTGTGAAGTTTAGCCTTAGCTCAAACTCATAATCTTGGTCTCCAAGTGTTACTATGATATGTGTACACTACCAGGCCCCGCTAGTGTATGTACTTTCTTACTTCTTTTAGTTTTTTTGCAAAGATGTTTTATTTTTATTTTATGTGTATGGATGTTTTGTCTGCATGTATGCATGTACACCGTGTGTGTGCCTGGTGCCCAAGGAAGCCAGAAGAGGGCATCAGATCTTTTGGAACTGGAGTTACAGATGGTGTGAGCCACCATGTAGGTGCTAGGAACTGAGCCCATTCTCTCTGGAAGAGCAGTTATTACTCCTAAGTGCTGAGTTATCTCTCCAGCCCTCTCTCTTCCTTCCTTTAACAAATATTTATTAGTTACCTACATTGGCCATTGTTCCCGGCAATACAGGTTAATATGAAAATGGAGGCATTTTTTTCTTCCTTGTGTAGGTATGGAGAACAGATAGTAAAACACATGCTTCACTTCATAAAGTGATATACCAACATCTCTTTATTTATAAAGCCAAGTGTGCCAGCTGGATTTGGGTCACAAACATAGTTTACCAGCTCCTTTCATAAACGGACACAATCCTAACTTGACAAATGTTCTTCTTGGTTTGGTTCTATTTCAGATGACATTGAGACGTGGAGAAAGAAATATGACACAATGAAACTCTCTGACTCCTACACACCAGATCTGGTGAAAGATTTGCTGAGAGTGTCTAAGGAAAATGTCCAGATGAACAAGGATAATATCCTCAATGAGATGAGGAAAATAGCTGTGTGAGTATCAGGCTGTATCAGCAGCTGTAACGGCCCTGACCTCTGAGTTGGATCTAGGGAATATCTATTGCAGAGCTAACTTTCAGTACATCTGGTGGGAGGATTGTAGGTGTGGCTGGCAATTGAGCTCCTGCATAGAATCCCCCAATGAGGGTCTGAGGGTATGACTCAGTAGTAGAGGCCCTGCTTAGAATCCCTCAGCAAGGGGCTGGTGGTATGGTTCAGTGGTAGATGACCTGCCTAGAATTCTCCAGTGAGGGGTTGGGAGTGTGGCTCAGTTACAGGGTACTTGTTTAGTGTATATGGGACCCTGGGTTCCATCCTCTGTAATAAAGTAAAAATTTATGGGAAGAGAGAAACTTTCTTACCATTGGAGCTTGCATCTGTGTATGGGAGAAGATAGGCAGTGGACGGTGTTGGAGTGAGTGGCTTTCTGAAGCACAAAGAAGAGTGGACTAGGTTGCTATGACTGTTGGTGCTTGCTTTGGGGACCAAATGTCTGATGGTTTTCTAATAACCTAAGAGTATGCACTAAATGGACACCTATCACAGCCCTTCACAACTGATTGAGTCCCTAGTCACTGCCCCTGGGCCCAGAAATGTCTGTCAGATGACATTCAGAGCTGGTTTTCATTCCACTCTCAGGAAACCTGTCAACTTCCCAGGGGTGACCAAGGAGGACTGCTGGGGAGACACAGTGCAGCATGCCCAAAGCTCTCGGA